GTTGTTGTTAGGTGCCATTTAGTTGGTTCCAACTCATAGCGACCCTGTAGGACAGAGCAGAACTGCTCGTGTGTGTGTGTGTGTGTGTGTGTGTGTGTGTGTGTGTGTGTGTGTGCGTGTATACACTCACATATACACATACAGTGGATTTCTATGAGAACAGTGATTATAGAACGCCAAAGGCTTTTTCTCTAGAAATACTCATGTTTTTTAAAAGACAATGTGGAAGGAAAAAAAATCCTTGAAGGTTTTACACATAAAGATATTTTGGTTCATTAGTTAATGCAAATTCTAGGATTTTATTCAAAAACAAAGAACAAAAAGTATTATTTCTGCTTATAATATCTATTGCAGAAAATCTGCACATAAAAGAAAAATGTCACCAAAGATTCTACCATCCTGAACAAACCACTGTTAGTATATTACTTCCTCATTTTTTGTGTGTTCTGTTTTCTCAACATTTTATTATAAAATTTGCAAAGTTGTAAGCAAAAATATAAGACTTTTACAGTGAATACTTGAATACTCATCACCTAGTTTACCATTAACTTTTTACCATACTTGTTTTATCACTTATTTACTTATCCTTCCAAACTTTTACAAGATTTGAGATCATACTGCATATAAATTTTATATCCTTATTAGAATACATCCATATAAATAGGCTAACTAAACTAAAAGCAATCAACAAATTTTTATAGTGCAAATGAGGACATTCTACAAATCACAGAAAATAGTGTTTTTTGTTTTGTTTTGTTTTGACTTCAAATTCAGCTTAGGCACAAATATGAATAACTCAAGAAGTTAATTCCAAGAGAGATATTTGGTAAGTCTTTTTAGAATTCATCATACCTCTTTTTCAACTTTCATTAAACTGGAAAAGAAGTGCTTCAAAAATAAGAACGGGATGTGAACATGCCTACAAGTAGACCTGTAAGAGTGTAAAACATGGCTTTACTTACTTCGTGATGACTGCCAAAGTGATTCTGCATATTGACTAGCTGATCTGATGGTTTGATCTAAAAAAGAAAAAAGAACTACAGTATACTCTAAAACATTTAACTCTTTAAATTGTACATTTTACAAAAGGACAATAAGTGCTTAATCTAAAGAGTAAAAATATTCAGATAAACCTCAGGGAATTCAACACTTGGATGCATAATGTATTAAAAAAAAAAAAAAAGTTTCCAAAGAGTCATGTTGTATCTAAAAAATTAGTTAATTATCTGTCTTTTCCCTAGCCACTATTTAAAGAAAAAAATGGTAAGAAATGGAACACAGCATGAAGTAAGGGAGATAACAAAACCTTTAAGTTGAGAAAAATTCTGAAAGTTTGCAATGGTAGATCTTGAAATCATTAACATTCATTTTGGTCTTAAAATTTTCTAGCAAGTGGGCAACACATTATGTATTTTAGTCTACTCTTCTTAAAAACTTTTTTCCCCCATTTAAAAAGTAGAATTTATAACTAAACTTGTTTGTTTAAAAGAGATCAGATTGCTATTTAGGACACAGAAGCATCTGACACAGAGGTATGGTGGCTGTATATTTTTGATAGTGCCCTTCTACTTCCTAAAGGAATTTTGAGCATCAACTTAATACATATTTCTAACATTAGATACACACACTATTGAAATATTAACTTGTGTTGTGTATATTATAAAACATAAAAAGCAGACATTTTAAATGGATGAAATAAAAAAACAAATGAAATTCTAATATCTTTTTCCTATATTCAAATAGATCTGCTCATACCTCTTTGAAGATGACTGGCCCAAAGGGTAACCTAAGAAGTTCAGTATTATTTTTTATTATGCCTCAACTCTTTGTTCTTTAGTGTTTTCTTCTCCATGAGGGTACGTATACTCCAATAAGGTCACAGAATTTATTAGCATTCTAAAGGGATCAGAGACTGGGGTTTATGCTCTTCCAAATAGCTATATGCTGGTAGCAATGGCAGAAAACTATTAACCATATAAATTGTTTAATTAGCCTCTAATTTTTAGAGTTTTATGTATACATGTATGAAAACTAATAACAGCACTTAATTTGAGTATTTACTATGTGCCAGGTACTTTCTAAATGCTTCACATCCCATTTACGTATGAATTTCATCCTCACAACAACACAGATGAGGAAACTGAGGAACACAGAAGTTAAATAATTGGTTAAGGCACACACGTCATAAGTGGAGGACTGAATCCCAGGGATTCTGGCTCCACAGCCCATGTTCTTAACCACTACGCTAGAGTGTTACATATCTCCTTTCAGGATTTCTGTATCAAGAAAGAATAGAGGAAAATGAGGGAATAGTGAATACTGAATGTCCATAAACCAATTCATAAGCTTATTTTACCAGTGGAATGATGAAATAAAAGAGGAATTATAGAAATTCTCAAGAGGCAGCGAGGGGAAGTGGAGAATTACTCTTCTACAGGGACGAAAATTAAAAATTACTAATTACTTATGGAGTTTACAAATTCATTCAGTACCCTCTTAAGCCTCTAATTGATGTTTTCTCTCTTCAGACAATTCTTTCCTTGAATGAACTTAAAGACAAATTCACATGAACAATCAGAGATTGTATTACTCATCAGGTATGAATTTGAACAATCCAGAGATAAAAGTAGCAATCTAAGTCTATTAAAACTTCTAAAAGCTAACCTACACTCCTGATAGTGCAGTGAGTCCCAATGGCAATGGGATCAGTTTCTCTATAAAATTCAAAAGCAAACTAAAAAATAACTATTCTTTTGAGCACTAAAACATCTTGTTTTCTATAAATACCAAAGCAGACTTAAAAACGATTTATTTGTTCTGATATTACATGACATTACATTACTAATCAATGTACAAGTAGAATCAGTAACTTAGTAATAGTTTTAAAAATATTAAAAGTAAGACTTCCGGGCAACATGGCGCTATAGTCAGAAGCACCATGCTGTCCCTCCTCAGCAAAGATCAGAAAAACTAAGTCAAACAGAGTCACACATCAATCCTGAAACCCAAACATCAAATGAAGGGATAAAGAACTCAGCCAAGCGCCGAATGCAATAAGAAACTGATCGAGAACAGAGCACGAGGAAAGATACATGCAGAGGTCCCCTATCAGCTACTGCAGCACGGATCCGCCATCTTGGACTCCTACTGGAGATCAGCAAACAGGAGGTAGGAGAAAGCAACTTCACGGAGCTTCCAGCAGGAGACAGAACAACCAGTAACCCATGATACAGGCTTTCCCACCTCCAACCCTTCTTCACCCCTATTTAGCCTCCTGTGCTTCCTGCAACCACAGTCTATTGGCCGGGAAGCACGAGCTTCCCCCTAACGCTGCTTGGATTACACCCGCCAGCACTGGCCAGCTCCCTGAGTGCCATTTGTTGGCTGCTGGTGTTGCTTTTTTCCACTTCTTCAGATTTCTTCCTTACCTCTCACCACCTCCCCCTCCTTTCTCTCAAATATCTGGCTCCATGCACCATCTTTGCTTCTTCTTGAAAGGCTGCAAAACACCGCTCAACTGTGAAACTGTGGGACCCCCAGGGCTTTTTTGTTTGTTTGCTCTGATTTGTTCTGTTTTGATTTGTTTGTTTGTTTTCTTTTTCTTTTCTCGGCTTGGGAGCC